CGGTTTTCCCCTTGCGACGGAAGGCCGACGTGCCTACCGTCCTCGAGCCGTGGCTACTAGCGTGGGGTGGCGCCCAGGGCCTGTGTGGGCTTCGCCTACACTCGGACCGTGGTGGTGAGTTTTCTTCCACTCGCCTGGAGACGTTCTGTCAGGGTCGGGGGATCATCCAGTCTTACACGCTACCAGCCTCGCCGCAGCAGAACGGGGTAGCCGAGCGACGCATCGGCCTGGTCATGGAGGTTGCCCGGACCTCCATGTGCCATGCCGGTGCCCCCCAGTTCTTGTGGCCCCAGGCAGTCCGCTACGCCGCGCACCAGCTGAACCTGTGGCCCGGTGACGCACGGCCAAGGGTGACGCCGGTCTCCCTTTGGACAGGTTCTCCGGGCGTAGCAGCTGACTTCCGCGTCTGGGGTTGTCTGGCTCACGTTCGCGCCCCTGGCGCGAACAAGTTGTCTCCGCGCACTCGTGCCTGCGTCTTTCTTGGCTTCCCTTTGGACGCCTCCGGCTGGGTGTTCTACGACCCGGTCACCTACCAGATCTTCGCTTCGCAGGACGTCACGTTCGACGAGTCTGTCTGTTACTACAGGAGTCGCCCCCACCGAGGTACTGAGGCCTTTTCCCCCCCCCTGTTCCTCACCCTTGAGCCCCCACCAGTCGCCCCGGTAGCCCCCCCCCCTTCGCGTCCTGCCCCGTTGTTGGTGCAACCCTACGGTTTGCACTCGGCTTGTTGTCCGTGTGCGTGAATGTGTGTGTGTATGGAATGGTATGAGGGCATGGGATAATATATATTTCATGCTTATAATTGTGTGTGAATGTTGAGTCATGATGTCGAGTGTGTGTGTCGAGTCAATAGCGAGTTATCGCTACACGCGTGTTACGCGGTCGTTTGTGTCTCGCGCGCGGTTTCTATTTTGTCGTGCGCGGTTTCTATTTTGTCCTGTGTCGAACGTTCGGCGTGTCGCAGGTGTGTGCAGCAGACCCATCAAGAACTCAAGGATGAGTTTGTGATGAAGAGCCCGAGCCTTGGTGTCAAGCCTCAAGTGATTTCGAAGCTTGCCAAAAGGGTACACCTCAAGATATTGAAGATAGTTACATTACTTTGTGTAGTGTAACATTTCACTCGGTGTAGGCCCTAGTGAAGGGTGGTTTCGAGACCTTTCGTGGTTGGGGACAGTGTGGCACTGTTCCACATCACTGTACCTCGGCTCTTGGGGTTTGTAGGAGCTGGGAGTCATTCCCAACTCGTAACTCTTCCTATCTTGTGTTCTAAGACTATAGTGGCTGCCATAGTACCGTTCGTTCAAACCGACGCTGTATCGTCAATTCTTTATCAAATCGTGCAATCTAAATTGCTAATTGTAGACGACGTGAAGACGCTCCAGATCCAATTTGAATCAAGTCATTTGCAGCTATGAGCAGAACGCTATCAACGTTTGAAGCCGCTGTGCAGAAATCCGTCTGTGCACTCTATCTTTCGTTTTAGGCACATTCAAGCCTATTGTGACTATAACACCCGTCAGGTGTGTCGCACGTCACTCCGCAGCCTTCCCCCCCGCAGCGTCCAGTCCCTGTCGTGTCTGGGGGTGCGGGAGGTGCAGTTGCGGAGGGTGAGGGTACTGGGGCTGCAGGAGCTGGTGGTGTCGGCTCTGCGGGTGCAGGGGGTGTGGGCGTGGAGGTCACTCCTGTGGAGGACACGGCAGCCTCGACTCGGCGGCCTCGCCCTGCCTCACCCCCTGGCTTCCCGTCCGTCCCGCAGTTTCCTCCTCCTTCTTCTCTGCGGTCGGTTGCTGCGGAGCCTGGGGGTGTTCCTGCAGGAGGTACTGGAGGCCCCGGGGGTGTCGGTGGTGGAGGTGCTGGTTCTGGGGGTGCTGGAGCTGGAGGCACTGGCACTGTGGCGCCTACACCGCGCACTGTACGTTTCCTGACCCGTGAGCAGCGTCTCCTCCGGTTGGAGAGGGAGGAGCGTGAGCGATTTGAGAGGGCACAGCAGCAGCAGCAGCAGCAGCAGCAGCAGCAGCAGCAGCAGCAGCAGCAGCAGCAGGAGAGAGTAGAGGAGGAGTCACAGCAGCAGCACGAGAGGGTAGCGCAGGAGTCCCGGTCGCAGCAGCGGGTGCAGCTGCAGCCGCAGCAGGAGAGGGTAGAGGAGGAGTCACGGCCGCACCAGGAGAGGGTAGAGCAGGAGTCCCGCCCGCAGCAGCAGGTGCAGTTACAGACACAGCAGGAGAGAGTAGAGGAGCAGTCACGGCCGCACCAGGAGAGGGTAGAGCAGGAGTCCCACCCGCAGCAGCAGGTGCAGTTACAGACGCAGCAGGAGAGAGTAGAGGAGGAGTCACGGCAGCAGCAGGAGAGGGTAGCGCATGAGTCCCGATCGCAGCAGCGGGTACAGCTGCAGCCGCAGCAGGAGAGGGCAGAGGCGGAGCCACAGGAGCAGCAGCAGGGGCCGGTACCGTCGCAGCAGACGCCAGAGGAGGCGGAGCAGCAGCGACTGCGACTACGCGACCTCCCCGACCCAGCATCTGCACGCTTTGTTCGTGGTCCCCTACCGTCCCCTCCTGTTCCACCAGTTGAGTCCCTTTCCTCCTCCCAGTGGACTCGTCGTCCTCCCTTCAGTCGTGCTGTGTCTCCACAGCCCCGTCGGTCCCGTTACCGTGCAGACGGTCCGTTTCACCTTGTTCTCCGCTCTCGTGTTCCACCTCCTCCTGTCCTTCCACAGCCCCCTGAGTCGTCCCTCACTGTGCTTCACGACCCGTTGTCCGACTACCTCCGTGCCTCCCGTCCTGTCGTCTCCCGTGTTTTGTCCGCGTTGGTCACTCACCCGACTGCACCTCTGTCGTCTGTCTCAGCACTTGTTACCACTGTCTCTGGCTTTGCCTCTTCCCACCGCCTTGACTACGCCGCTCACTTGGTGAGTGGCCCTGCACGTTCTCCGTCCTCTGGGGGTGCTCCTGTCTTTCCCCTGGAGGTCGTAGAGGACAGGCAGTTCGAGCTTGGTTTCCTTGCGGCCGCTGTTCCTCATCTCTGCGCCATGCTGCTTGCCCCTGAGGGGGATCCAGACGCCCTTGACATCCTGATCCCTCGCACTCACGCCGAGGCGGTCTCGGGACCCTGGGCTTCGTACTGGATAGCAGCTGAGGAGGCAGAGATGGCATCTTATAGGTCCACAGGCACTTACGTCGACGCAGTCCCACCACCTGGGACGAATGTCGTCAGTGGCCAATGGCTCTACAAGGTGAAGCGGCCGCCTGGATCACCACCTGTGTTCAAGGCGCGCTATGTTGCGAGAGGCTTCAGTCAGCGAGAGGGGGTGGACTTCTTCCAGACCTTCGCTCCCACCCCGAAGATGAGTACTCTTCGGGTGTTGCTGCATATTGCAGCCCAGCGCGACTACGAGTTGCACTCCTTGGACTTTTCCACCGCGTTCCTTCAGGGGAGCCTGCACGAGCAGATCTGGCTGCGTCGCCCGCCTGGCTTCACTGGCTCTTTCCCACCTGGGACCCAGTGGCAGCTGCGTCGACCAGTCTACGGCCTGCGTCAGGCCCCACGTGAGTGGCACGACACACTTCGCTCGACCCTTGCAGCTCTTGACTTCTTTCCGTCGTCTACTGACCCGTCACTGTTCGTTCGCCGTGGCTCGACCCCGTTCTTTGTCCTGGTCTACGTCGATGACCTAGTGTTCGCCACTCCCGACCGACGCGCGGTGGCCTCCGTGAAGGAGGAACTGCAGAGGAGACACACTTGCACTGACCTTGGTGAGCTGCAGCACTACCTTGGCCTGCAGATCACCAGGGACAGGGCAGCTCGCACCATTACGCTGACTCAGTCGCATATGGTCGAGCAGATCCTCACGCGGTTTCGCTTCCCGTTCTCCAAGGTACAGCTCACCCCTCTTGGTGTGGATCATGGGCTCACGGCTCCACCTTCGGACGAGTCATTTGAGTCCAGTGGTCCATATCCTGAGCTGGTGGGTTGTCTCATGTACCTGATGACCTGTACTCGCCCAGACCTAGCTTACCCTCTTAGCGTCCTTGCGCGCTTTGTTGCGCCTGGGAGACACCGACCTTCCCACTGGTACGCTGCTAAGAGGGTGGCGAAGTATGTGGCGAGTACATCAGGCATGGGACTTGTCCTTGGAGGGAAGCAGCCAGTTACACTCACAGGTTACTCGGACTCGTCGTGGGCCGACGACGCGGAGACGCGTCGGTCTACACAGGGGTACTCCTTTAGCCTCGGGGCAGGTGCTGTTTCGTGGCGGTCGACTCGGGCGTCGTCCGTCGCCGGTTCCAGCTGTGAGGCAGAGGTGTACGCTGCGGCCATGGCCGCTCAGGAGCTTCGCTGGCTGTCTTTCCTTCTCACCGACCTTGGTGAGCGGCCTCGCTCTCCCCCAGTCTTGTTCGCCGACAACAGGTCTGCTGTCCTGTTGTGTGAGGAGCCCCGACTGGTTGGGAAGGCGAAGCACATCCAGCTTCGTTACTTCCTTCTGCGTGAGTTGCAGGAGCGTGGACAGGCACTCGTTCGACGTGTGGTCTCTGAGGCCAACACGGCAGATATCTTCACCAAGGCGTTGCCGCCTTGTGACCACCAGCGTTTCTGCACCCAGCTTGGCCTTGTGCCTGCCCGTCCTCACTTGCTTGCTTAGAGATGCCTTGTCCTGCATGTCTTGTACTCTTGCATCTCTTTATATTTGCTATATACCTGCATGTGGACTGGCCTTGTGGCCCCTTGCTTGCTCTCGGAGTATGTGGTGACTTTGAGCTCCACCCTGAGATTTGTCTTGTTCTTGTAGACTGGTCTTGTGACTGTTGCTTGCTCTTGTTGTTTCTACAGGACTTCCGTCACCTAGACTATGGGGGTGTGTCAACATATATTTTATATGTGTTGTTTAGGTTAGTCTAGGTGTTACATTTCTACATACTTGCATGATTAGGGTTTGCTATATCTAGGGTTGTACTTCACATTTTCTATCAATTCATTCTTATCGTAACATACGGAGCGCACACGGGTCAGCGTACGGGGCACACGCGGGGCTGCGAACGGGGCGCGCGCGGGGCAGCGTATAGGGCGCGTGCGGGGCAGCAAACATGGCGCACGCAGGGCAGCGTACGGGGCGCGCGCGGGGCAGCAAACGGGGCGCGCGCTGGGCAGCGTACGGGGTGCGCGCTAGGCAGTGCACGGGGCGCTCGCGGGGCAGCGAACTGGGCGCGCGCGGGGCAGCGAACAAGGCGCGCGCGGGACAGCGTATGGGGCATGCGCGTGGCAGTGAACGGGGCGCGCACGGGGCAGCGTACGGGGCGCGCGCGGGGCAGCAAAAGGGGCGCGCGCAGGGCAGCGTACGGGGCGCGCGCGGGGCAGCGTACGGGTTGCGTGCAGACCGGCGCACGAGGCGTGCGCTAGGCAGTGCACGGGGCGCGCGCGGGGCAGCGAACGGGCGCGCGCGGGGCAGCGAACGGGGCGCGCGCGGGGCAGCGAACGGGGCGCGCGCCGGGCAGCGTACAGGGCGCGCGCGTGGCAGCGACGGGGCGCGTGCGGGGCAGCGTACGGGGCGCGCGCGGGGCAGCAAACGGGGCAGCAGGGCGTGCGGGGCGCACGGGGCAGCAGGGCGCGCGGGGCAGCAGGGCGCGGGCGGCGCGCGGGGTAGTAGGGCGCGCGCGGCGCGTAGGGCAGCAGGGCGCGCGACGTGCGGGGCAGTGGGGCAGTGGCACTCGAGGCACTGGGCAGCAGGGCAGTGGCGCTCGAGGCGCGGGGCATCGAGAATAAACCTAACCTAATCGTAGGTTCGGTAGTAGGTTCGGCAGTCGGACCTAATCTAGCGCATGATACCATGTTAAGAAGATTACAGCGGAATGATTGACTAAGAGGAATGAGAAGTACAATTACTAACCCTAATGGGTTTTACCCTCTATGGGCTGCCCCACTACAGCCTAGACCACAAACATATACAGTTTGACACGTAACGCATACACATCTGATAAAGTTCAGCAATATAGCGATCTGGAAGGAAGCACCTGAAAAAACAACGTGCACCTGGGGAACGTTCGGTGCGTCGATACAGGACAACCCACCGACGCGTTATCAACGAAAACAGTTCCGATGCGTTGTCAAAGGGAAGATTCCCACGGAAACTTACTGACGAACTGTCACCGCAATCACCGCTCCACAATTACCTCCGTCACATCAATCCCCACCGCAATCATCGCCGTCATCAAAATCACTCACCATTCACCACCTTATCTTTCATACGCAAATTCACTAAAATTCACAGCAAGGGGGAGTTTTGAGAAAACAATCATAAATATAATCTATATGCTATTGGATTTTAGTGTAGTACTCCTTATAAAACTCCAGGTTCCACAATAATTGTACAAATCATTCTAGGGCCATAATTATTGGAGTTTAGAATTATTGGAGGGTAAGAATTATTGGTGGGGAGATTTTTTGGAGGTATCATAATTGGTGTGGATGAGTAGACTGTGGCCAAGGTAGCTGATTGCGTACATGCCCTGCTGTAAATCTTTTGTGATCAATACATTCCATTGCAAGCTTTCAGTTCAATTATATTCTACAATCAAGCTTCCGCTACGTTGGCACTATGCCTTTGTACCACCCCACATCACGTGCTGTCTGTCATATGAATCATGCACTGATTGTTAGAGATTCCCCTGTTACCTCCGCTCTGGGTGCCTCGGTGGGTGCGAGGCAAGGCCCAGAGGCCACCCAGCCACTGGGGGTACTGTCTGGGAGTCAAATGGTTCAGACGGGCCAGATGAGTGAGGCGAGTCCGAGTCAACAGAGTTGCAGTGAGTCATGGCACGCCCACCCTGGGGCTGGGAGGCTGCACCTTGGGGCTGGGAGGCCCTCTGCGATGCACGTCTTGCAGGGCTCCATGTGCCTCCCTTCTCTCCGCCTTCATGCCTCATCATGCTCCCTGCACTGCCATGCCCTGCACTACTGGCATGCCAATGCTGTATCTCCCCACTCTCCACTTCACCTGCACCGCACCTCCTCCCACTGGCTCTCCTCTCACCACCTTTCATCCCCGAACCCTCCATTCCATCCACATCAGCCATACATGTGTCGCGTGTGATCCGTGCATCAGAGGCTTGACAAGCATTTTGCTGAACGCCCGTGATTTGCTGAACGCCTGTGATCTGCTGAACGCCGGTGATCTGCTGAACGCCTGTGATCTGATGTGTGCTCTCCACGCCCTGCAAGTGCCTCCTGCTGCTGGAAGTCACACACCCCCCATCCCCCCCATTCGCCCAATTTCCCCCATCACTCCCCTGGTTCCCTCTGTTCCCTGCTCTCCCTCCATTCCCTCTCCCATTTTCTTCCACCCCATCATTCGCCCCATAGCCATGTGTCTCCGTCTCTTCTGCAGCTGTATTCTGCCCCTCTCCTCCCTCCCCAGCCTCATCAGCCCTCACCCTGCCAGCAGCTCGGTGCCATGGCTTGCCTCTACCCATCTGCTCCTCCTCATCCCCGTCTGCCCTGACGTTTCCTCTCCTTTGCCTTGCCTTCTCCCCCACCTCAATTCCGCGCACCCCTCTCCTTCCCCCCTTGATCACCGCGTTCCGACTGCTGTAGCTGCTGCTGCCCTCCTCATCCAGCCGCCGCCTTGCCTCTCTGGCCCCTCCCCTGTCCTTCCCACTTCCTACTGCACCACCTCCCACGCCACCACCTCTCACCGCACCACTTCCTACTGCACCACTCTGCCCTGCCCCTTTCGGTCGCCCTTCCTTACGACACCTCTCAAGCGGTCCGTGTATTACTGCTGCTGCTGCTTGAGCCGTTGGGTCGCATCAAACCCTTCTCCACCTCACCTATTGCTTCTCCATCCCCTCCCCGTATCTGCAACACTGACCCCTGTGCACCCATTAACCCATCCCCCCCCTGCTGGTGCTCCTGTGGTGGTTCCATCGATTGTGTGTTATCGGAACCGAGGGAAGGGAGGGAGGGCAGGGAGGATAGAGAGGTGGAGGCGCGAGAGGGAGGCGAGGAAGAGGAGGAAGCATGAGAGGAGGAAGGATGAGAGGAGGAAGGATGAGAGGAGGAAGCATGAGAGGAGGAAGTATGAGAGGAGGAAGCATGGGAGGAGGAAGCGTCAGAGGAGGAAGCATGAGGGGAAGAAGCGTGAGGGGAGGAAGTATGAGGGGAGGAGAAATGAGAGGAAGAAGCATGAGAGGAGGAACCATGAGAGGAGAAAGCACGCGAGGAGGAAGGACGAGGGGAGGAAGCATGAGGGGAGGAAGCATGAGAGGAGGAAGCATGAGGGGAGCAAGCGTGAGAGGCAGAGGAGCGGGAAGACGTGGAGGAGCGGGAGGCGCGAGAAAGAGAGGGTGTGAGGCAAGGAGAGGAGGAGAGGGCGGGGTGGCAGTCGGGACGGTGGGAGCTTGGGGGGCGAGGAGAGGGCTCTGCGGGAAGAGGAGGAGGGAGAGGCGAGGACGGGCGTGCGTGGGCAGTGGAGGAAGGAGGGAAGGAGTGCTGTTTCTGAAGGGAGGGGCGAGAGAGGGGGGTTGGGGATGAGGTAGGGGGCTGTCTTGGAGAAGCAAGACTCGAGTTGGAAGGATGGAGGGGGGAGGAGGAGGGCAGTGCGACGGAGGGATGGCTTGGGGAGGATACTGACAGCGCTCGACGCAAGTGGGGGGGAGGTGGAGGGTTGGCGGGTGGCGAGGAGCGGCATTTTGTACGAGAGGCAGAGGACAACGGATGGGGGGAGGTGAGGGAAGAAGAGCTACTGAGCTGCTTGTGACTATGTGAGGATGCACTAGTATGGAGGTTAGCGAGTGAGGTGTTAGAGTGTGCCGCGATGGGGATGCTTCTTTGGGAGGCCAACACGGGTCTGTGGGAAGATAATCCGTTAGAGTTCGGAGGTGAAATGGGTGCATCTAAAGATGAAACGGATGCATCAGGAGGTGAAACGAGGCTATGAGGGTATGAGAGGCATCTTGGTGGGAATGACCCCCTACCCTCGTTCAGTGCACGTGAACTATGAGGAGATGTAACTTCACTGTGAGATGAAACGCCTCTTGGAAATGTAACGCGGTCACGGAACGATGAAACCCGCAACGAGCCTTCATTAGCCATCAACGATCCACCAGCAATAGCACGAGGAGGAAAGGACCGGTGGGTGTATGCCCGAGAGGGGGGCATGAGGAGGGGAATGGTAGTCGCCTCCGCAGCGCCCACTCCTTGCCTAAAGGCGGGAAGAGCGGCAGCGCCCTGCATGGCCGGCACTGCAGCGGGTGAGGCGGGTGTAGGTGAGGCGGGTGCAGGTGAGGCGGGTGCGGGCGGCAGGGAGGTTGAGGCAGGCAGATGCAAATGCAGGTGAGCACGAGGAGGAGAAGAGGCAGGTACGGCCGAGGGGGAGTGCCGTCTCGAGGAGTGCGGAACGGTGCGATGACAGGAGGGCGAATGAGGGGGAGCGGCAGAAGCAGGGGAGCCAGAAGCAGCTTGAGAGGAAGCTCTGTGTTGAGAGGGGCTATCTGGTGAAGGTGGCATCTGGCTGACCCTACTGGTATGCACGGAGTGCCTGGCAGGGGAACCCAAAGGGGAGGTTCTATCTGGTGAAGGTGGCTTCTTGGCAGCAGAGGGAACTGCTGCATGAGAGGAAGGACAGGGGACAAGTGTTTCTTTGGTGGGCGAGGCTGCTGTAGCAAGGGCAGGGACAGGGACAGGTGTGGCAAGTGCAGGGACAGGGACAGGTGCAACAAGGGCACTGCTGCTGGTGGCTGGGGTGTGCTGCAGCTGTTGTTGACCCGCTTCACCAGCCTCCTTGGCTGGAGATGGCACTCTCAAGAGCGCCCTGCTGCTGCCGCCCAGGGCGAATGGGTACTTGCGGGGAGGTAGAGATGGTGCGGGGACGCTTTGAGAGGGAGGGGGGTGCTGAGAGGGTGGAGGCACGAGCTGAGAGGCAGGGCAGTCTGAAGTGGTGGGCGAGTGGGGGGAGAAAACGGACGAAGGTGGGGGGAGGAGAGGGAGGAAGAGGTTGGCTGGGGGGAGGAGTGGGAGGAGGACGGGGTGAGATTGTTAAGGAGGGCGGAGGGATGGCGGCGGGAAGGGGGGAGGATGGGGGGAGGGCGGCGGGAGGAAGGGCGGGGAGGGAGGTGGGAGAGAGGGGCGTCAGCAGAGGGACTGGAGGAGGGGTGAGCGAGGGTGGAGGAGGGGAGAGGAGAGGCGAAGGATATGAGCGAGGAGGTAGAGGGAGTGTGTGAGTGAGAGGGAGTGAGGGTGTGGGATGACTGGGATGAAATGGAGGAGTGCAAAAGGAAGGAGGAATGGGAGGGGATGGAGGAACGTGGGGGCCCAGCGGCAGCGGTGGGCGGTTGAAAGGAGAGGCGGCGACGAGTGGAGTGGGAGGCAGAGGGGGAGGGGAGGGAGGGAGAGGGAAGAGAGGAGGAGGCAGGTGAGTTGTGCAGGCGGGGAGAGGAAGCAGCGGCAGCAGAGGAGTGAGGCCGGGCGGAAGGGGCGATGCAGGAGGGGCCGGGCATGAGCAGAGAGGGCTTGGGGGCGGAGGGGCGGGCGGGATGGAGAGGGTTGGGTGCGGGGAGCGAGAGGAGGCGAGTGGTGGGAGCAGGGGTGCTGGCACCGCTGCTGCTGCTGCTCCTGCTCTTGCTGCTGCGGCTGCTGGCTCTGCTGGCCCCCCGTTGGCTCTGTTGGCTCACCACCACAGCACCGGCTGTACCATCTCCATAGCCCTCCCCTGACCGCCTGCCTTTGTTATTAGCCTCCCCAATGCCGCCATCCCTGCCACCTACACCAACCATGCTCCTCTGCCCAACCACCTCTGGAGCCTCGCATTGCAACTGCTCCCTCTGCTCGCTCTGCTCCCCCTCCTGCTCATCCTTCTCACTCGGTTGCCCAGCAGTTGCCTGTGGCCTCACCTCCACCTGCTCCTCTCCTGCTGCACTCCTGCCCACCACACCCACCACCGCCGCCCCACCTGCTGCTACCTCACAACCCGCTGCTTTCTCCACACCCTCCAAGTCTCCCTCCCCCTCTTCCTGTGGCCCCCATCCGCCCTTCCTCCTCCTCATCTCCGCCACCACTGCTGCCGCCATTGCCTTCTTTCTCCCCTTCCTCCCCTTCTCTCCCTTGCCCCCACTCCCCTCCACTCCTCCACTCGCCTCAGCTCCATCCCCAGCCCCATGCTGCTCTGCCAAACCCGCCTTCTCTTTGCCCATTCCCTTCGCCCCTTTCTTCCCCTTTGCCTTTCCACCACCTGAAGCCGGAAAACTGGGCGGCACACACTGATTCTCAGGTGAACGGCCAGGTGGATGGCCAGGTGGGGGGTGGGCAGGGAGCAAACTGTCAGGTGCTGCACTGCTGCTCTGCTCGTGGCCATGAACCTTAGAGCCGTGCTCCCGTGCCTGCTCTGTCGTCCGGCCCTCGACTCCACCGGGCGTGCTTTCAGAGTGTCGCCGCATATCCCCACCCCTTGGTGTTTCCTCTAGCAGCTCAAAGTCAGGCGGTGCGTGTGCAAGGGAGGCACGAGCATGAGCATGGGGTGCAAAACGGGCCCCACCGGCAGCAGCGGCAGCACCAGCAGCACCATGGGAGCGGTGGGCAGAGGAGAGTGGCGGCAGCACACACGCCGGCTGAAACCTGTCCGCCCCTCCCCCTCCCCCTCCCCCTCCCCCTCCCCCTCCCCCTCCCCCCTCCCCCTCCCCCTCCCCCTCCCCCTCCCCCTCCCCCTCCCCCTCCCCCTCCCCCTCCCCCTCCCCCTCCTCCCCCCACACGCCCTGCCAGCGCCCTCCTCCACCGCCACAACTCACTGCTCTCCTCTTGCTCCCCCTGCTGCCCCCCCTTCTCACCCCCTTCCCTCTCATCCCCGCCCTTCTCACCCCCTCCCCTCCCATCCCCACCCCTCTCACCCCCGCCCTTCTCCTCACCAGCCTGCCTCAGCTGCCCCTCGTGCCGCTTCCCATGTCCACTCCCACCCCGCCTCCCACCACTCCCCGCTTCCACCCTTCCTCCCTCCCCCACTCCTGCTTCCCCGCCGCCTGCTGCCTCCCCCACTGCCCTCCCCTCCGCATCAACAGCAGCGCGGGCAAGTGCAAGAGCCCTCTCCCACTCACTAATCCTCTCCCGCACGGCAGTCCCCTCGCCAAACACATGCACGCCCTCTCTGACACCCCCCCTCCGGCTCCCCCCTTCGCTCCTACTCTCCTCGCTCTCCTGCAGCCACCGCTGCCAGCGCTCGTCCCACTCCCCGCCCTGCATCTCCCTCACTCGCTGCATCCACGCCAGCTCCCTCCCCAACGCCTCCCTCATTGCCGCCTCCCTTCCTGCTGCTCTTGCACCACCCCTCGCTGCCCCACCACCCCTTGCAGCTCGCCCCTCCAACCCCCCACCAGGCAGCCTCCCCTTCCCCACCTCTGCCTCCCTGCTGCTCCTCTCACCACCTGCCTCTCGCCTCACAGGCACGCCCTGCCCAGATGCCACCTCCCTGCGGGCAACAGTGCAGCCAGTGGCATCACCACCACCACTAACTGCTGCTGCTGCTGCCTCACGTCGCTTGCGAGGCTTGGGAGCAGCAGCGGCAGAAGCACCCGTGGCGGCGGCGGAGGCACGCTTGGGTTGCCCGTGCCGCTTCACCCCTCCCTCCTCCATCACCACCTCTATCTCCTCTATCTCTTCTATCTCCGCGACACCCTTCCTTGTACTCTTCTTCGTCTTCCCTCCCTTGCTCGCCCCACCACCACCAGCCACTGCACCCGTGCTGCCACCCGCTGCCGCCACTGCACTGCTGCTCTCACCCTCGCCTGCTCTCATCCCCTCCGCGCCCCGCCTTGCCTCCGCCTCTGCTCTCGCCCTGTCAGCAACCTTGGCAGCCTTGCCCTTCCCCTTTCTCACCACCTTCTTCCCTGCCTTGCCTGCTGCTGCTGCCTTGCCTGCTGCTGCTGCTGCTTTGCCTGTTGCTGCCTTGCCAGCTGCTGTCCTCTTGCCTACTGCCTTCTCCGCTTCTGCTGCTGCCGTTGCCCTATCCTTTACCATTGCCTCTTGCTCACCATATCTCCGCCCCTCATCTGCCAGCGATTCGACCAGGCAGGCCCTGTCCTCCGCCCCTTGCTCCTCCACCACCCCAACATCCCCCTCCGCCCCAGCCCCCACTGCCCTTCCAGCACCACCCGTCCTCCTCTTCGTCCCGGCACCTGCCACGCCTCCACCGCCTCTCTCTCTGCCCTTTGCCTTCGTCAATCCCTCTCCACCCACCTTCTTCCCCTCGCCCAACCCCTCTAGAGCGCCCTTTGCTCCCGCCCTGCCTGCTGCTGCTGTGCCCTTGCCTCGCCCTGCACCCGTCTTCTTCAAGACTCTCTTTCCCCGCCAACTCCCCTCGTCTTGCCCCGCACTTCCAGCAGCACTAACAGCAGTGTCAGCAGCTGCGCCAACAGCAGCACCACCAGCAACAGCAGTGTCAGCAGCTGCGCCAGCAGCAGCACCACCAGCAACAGCAGTGGCAGCAACACCGGCACCAGCAGCATCGGCAACAACAGTGGGGGCAGCAGTGCTCGCAGCAGCAGCAGGTGCTCTGCTGCGCCTGGCAGGAGGCACAAGAACCTGGCCTGGCTCTAGCACAGCCGGGGCGGGAGAGGGGGCCGCGGAGGCGGGGTGGGGCAGAGAGGGCGCAAGAGGAGGGTCCGTGGGGCCTTGGGATGGCGCTGCAGCGTCTGCAGTAGCAGTAGCAGAAGCGGCAGGAGTGGGGACAAGAGGTATTGAGGCTGGTGGGGCGGGGTCCAGGGGAGGGGCGGTGTGCATGGCAGCGAGTACGAGGAGCATGCCGGCAAGGAGGGGAAAGGAGGCAGAGGCAGGTGCAGCAGCACACTGCGTGGCGTCTGCAGCAGCAGCGGGTGGAGCAGAGAGAGCCGTGGCAGGGAGGAGCGAGGCAGCCGGGGTGGAAGATGGAGGAGAGGAGGGAGGAAATGGAGGTTGGCAAGAGGAGAGCTGGGGAGGAGCGTCTGAAAGGGAGTCGAAAACCGAAGCCTGCTTTTGCATCGAGGGCTCGCAAGCAGCTGTGGTGGGGTCGGTGGCAGGATGAGTGCTGTTACTGTGAGCGTCAGCTGTGTGGTCATAAGTAGGGTCTGTGCTGTGTGGTGCACCCACTTGACGGTTGGCATCACCCACTTCACCATGAGCATGAGCATGAGCATGAGCATGAGCATGAGCACTGGTATCGGCCTCTGCTTCGGAACATAAATCACCATCAGCAGCAGCGATGCTGTCCGTGATGGCAGCGCCACCTGGAGGCCACGCAGAGGTGGCGTGATTATCATCAGCTTCCGCACCATCCACGTCATCAGTGCAACCACTGCCCTCATCGCCATCCTCATCGCCATCCCCATCCTCATCTCCACAATCAGTGCCATCATCATCACCATCAGCATCACTGCATGCATCTGCCCCCTGTGGCAGGGGCAACACAGCTTCTGTTGCAAGCGGCAAATCACATGCGAGTGTTGGTGACACCGCTGCAGCGGCTTCTGCTGCTGCCTCTGCCTCTTCCTCCTCCACACACTCATCCATGCCTGTCCCTGCAGTTTCCAAGTCCTCGTCCTCATCCCCTTCTTCTGCTTCTTCTACTTCTTCCTCAACTGCTACTTCCCCTTCCCCCTCCCCCTCCGCTCCGTCGTCCCCTTCCCCTTCCCCCTCCACTTCGTCCTCTTCTCCTTCCCCCTCTGGCTCTTCCCCTCCCCCCTCCCCCTCCGCTTCACCCCCTTCCTCCTCCCCCAATGCATCGTCCCCTTCCCCCTCCCCCAATGCTTCGTCCCCTTCCCCCTCCCCCACAGCCTCATCAATATTCCTCAGCCACTCTGCCAAGCGACTTCCCGCCTCTCCTCTATGCCCATCCCCCCGCCCATCCCCCCCTCGCCCCTCCCCTGCCGCCCCTGTCAATCCCTCCACTCCCTCCACCCCTCCACCCGCTCTCCCCCCATTCCTCCCCATCCCATCCCCACTCTTTCTCATCCCACCCAGCCATTCTCTTCCCTCTACACCCTCACTCTCCAACCCTCCTTCCATCCGACCACCCTCCCCATCCCTCTCCCCATCCTCCTCACCATCTTCCTCCCCATCCTCTAGGGGGCACAGCTCAGAGATTGACCCCAGCCCCTCCCCCCCATCGCTGCCCACAGCCCACGACCGCCCTGCCCTCAGAGCAAACCCGCCCCTCCACGTTGCAGGGGAGGGTGACGAATACCCCGACCGCACTCCCACACTCTCACTCTCCCACTCCCCACTCTGATTCCTCACTCTCCCTGCCCCCGCACCGCCCCCCACTGCCCTCCCCCCCACGCCCAGCCCAGCCGCCGCCAGCGCTCTGAGCATCAGCGCAGTGCGCGGGCTATGGACAACCGACGCCGACCCAAGCGACGCACCACCACCACCACCACCACCACCACCACCACCACCACCACCACCACCACCACCACCACCGGCCCCACTCCGAATCGAACCCGCCCCAAACGGCCTCTCCCCTCCCGCTGCGCCTCCAAACCCCCCCAACCCGCCCATCCCCCCATGCGCCCCTGAGAGCAGCGAGAGATTGAGAGACGAGTCCAAATCCGTGTCCTCCCAGTCCTCCGACTCATCCATCGCTGACGCAGACGCTGACAGCACTGACGCGCCCCCGCGGCCGCCCCCGCCCGGCCAGTGGTGCGCGAAGAGCTGGCGGTGGCGGTGCTTGCGCGCGATGAGGGCTTCTAGAAGGTCCATTAGGAGCATGGCTCGCTTTAGACTGGCCGCAGGGTCGCCCACCTGATGTGGGGGAGGGGGAGGGGAGGGGGGTGGGCAGAGGTTGGGCAGGGGGGGTGGGGACGGGAAGGGGGAGGAGAGGGTAGCAAGAAGGTGCAGGCGATGAGGGCTTCCAGGAGGTCCATGGGCAGCATGGTGCGCTTCAGGCTGGCGGCGGGGTCGCCCACCTGGTTTAGGAAGGTGGGGGGGGGGAAAGAAGGGGGCGGGCAGAATGTGGTGTGAGGGTGGTGAGAGGGTGCGGGCGATGAGGGCCTCTAGGAGGTCCATGAGCAGCATGGCGCGCTTGAGAGAGCGGCCGGGTGGCTGCGGGGTCGCCCACTTGCTGGGCGAGGAGGTGGGGAGAGGGCGGGCAGGAAGAGCGGGGGGGTGGAAGGGGGGCCAGAGGGGGCGAGGAGGGAGAGGGTGCATGCGATGAAGGAGGTTCATGAAGAGCATGGCTCGCTTGAGACTGGCGGCGGGGTCGCCCACCTGGTTGGGGAGAAGGTGGGGAGGGCAGGGGAAAGGGGAGGGAAGGGGATGGGGTGGGGAAGGGGTGGGCAGGGGGGTGGGGAGGGGAGACGGCAGGGAGGAGGAGACAGAAAAACAATAAGCAAGCGGGAAAGAAAAGGTAAATCCACGAGGGAAAGAGCAAGAAGGGAGCAGCAAGCAGGGCAGGCAGAACGGGCTCACCTGCACGAGGTTGGGTGCGAACACAAGGGCGAGCGCCCTGGCGGCCATGTGGTTGCGGTGGTGGCACTCCACCACGTCCACGAGCAGGTTGAGTAGCCAGTCCAGCAGGCAGCTGCAGGCGGGCGGCAGCACTCCCAGCACGTCCGCCATGCCGCCGCCCTCCTCGCTGTGCGGGTCCGCTGCGGAGGCGAGCAGGGAGAGCGGCAGCGCGTCCAAGAGACCGTCTGGGAGCTCCCGGAACCAGGCCTGGGGTATGGAGGGCGGAGGGGAGGGGAAGGGGGGAGGAACGGAGAGGAGAGAGGAGGGGAGAGGAGGGGAACGGGGGAGAGGAAAGGGAGGAGAAGAGGAAGAGGGAGAGGAGGGTGATGAAGAGATTTGGTCCTCTCTGCCAGCACCTCGCCCTGTGTGGGTCCGCTGCGGAGGCGAGCAGGGAGAGCGGCAGCGCGTCCAAGAGGCCGTCTGGGAGCTCCCGGAACCAGGCCTGGGTTATATGGAGGGCGGAGGGGGGAGGATGGGAGAGGAGAGAGGAGGGGAGGAGGGGAGGGGGAGAAAAGAGGAGAAGAGAGGAGAAGAGGAGACGGGGAGGGGGAGAGGAGGGCGATGAAGAGAGCCAGCCAGCACCTCTCCCTGCCAGCACCTCTCCCTGCCAGCACCTCTCCCTGCCAGCACCTCTCCAGTGCCGCCCTCTCGCCACGGGCCCTCTGACCAGCTCTCTGCTTGTACTCTCTCCTTCCTTCACGAATACAATAATTCCTCTCACAATCTTCTCACACCTCACCGTTCATCACAGAGGCAGCAGTCTGCCTTGTGTTGATGTGACTAGCACCGGTGGGCAGGCAGGCGGGCAGGCAGGCAGGCAGGCAGGCGGCAGGTGGGAAGGCAGGCAGGACGGAGGGCAGGCAGGCGGGCAGGCAGGCGGGCGGGCAGCCAGGTGGGCAGGCAGGCAGGCGGACAGACGGGCAGGCAGGTAGTGCCCCTCACCTTGATAAGAGCTTTCCCTCACCTTGATAAGAGCCTCCCCTCACCTTGATAAGCGCTGCAAGGCAGTGCACATCAGTGGAGGGCGGGATCTGCCCCGCATTCACAGCTGCCTTGGCGGCCTCCTCCCTGCCCGCGTCCACTCCCACCCTGAATATGCCCTCCATCTGAAGACGGAATGGGAGTGGTTTGCCACGGGGGCCGTAGAGAGCAATTTGGGAGGATGGAGCGACAAAAACGCAGGGAAGAGAGAGTGGGTGTGCGAGGCATGGGTTCCTTCCTCTGCTGCATTGGCTGCCTCCTCCCGCATCCACTCCCACCATGAATATGCCCTCCGTCTGATGGGCGCAAATGGGGAGGAGAGGGGAGTGCAGGGGGCAGCAAGGAGTTTAGGGGAGGTTGCAAAGGGCAGGGTGGAATAGATGCAGCGGCTCATGGATTCCTTCTTCTGCTGCCTTCAACGCCTCCTCCCTGCCCACCCCCACCCAGAATATGCCCTCCGTCTGATGGGCGCAGGAGGGGAGAGTGGGGGCGGTTAGTTAGCCAAGAGAGATAAGGAAAAGATGGAGGGACAAGGGGCGGGGAAAGGGGAGTGGGTGTGCGAGGCATTGGCCCCTTCTACTGCTGCCCTGGCTGCCTCCTCCCTGCCCGCCTCCACTCCCGCCCTGAATATGCCCTCCACTTCCACCTCAACCCAGCACCCATGAACTCTACACCCATGAACTCTACACCCATGAACTCTACACCCATGAACCCCACACCCATGAACCCCACACCCATGAACCCCACACCCATGAACTCTACACCCATCAACCCCACACCCATCAACCCCACACCCATCAACCCCACACCCATCAACCCCACACCCATCAACCCCACACCCATCAACCCCACACCCATCAACCCCACACCCATCAACCCCACACCCATCAACCCCACACCCATCAACCCCACCCCATCAACCCCACACCCATCAACCCCACACCCATCAACCCCACACCATCAACCCCACACCCATCAACCCCACACCCATCAACCCCACACCCATCAACCCCACACCCATCAACCCCACACCCATCAACCCCACACCCATCAACCCCACACCCATCAACCCCACACCCATCAACCCCACACCCATCAACCCCACACCCATCAACCCCACACCCATCAACCCCACACCCATCAACCCCACACCCATCAACCCCACACCCATCAACCCCACACCCATCAACCCCACACCCATCAACCCCACACCCATCAACCCCACACCCATCAACCCCACACCCATCACCCCACACCCATCAACCCCACACCCATCAACCCCACACCCATCAAACCCCACACCCATCAACCCCACACCCATCAACCCCACACCCATCAACCCCACACCCATCAACCCCACACCCATCAATCCCACACCCATCAACCCCACACCCATCAACCCCACACCCATCAACCCCACACCCATCAACCCCCACCTGCAGCAGCACAACCTCTCTCCACTCTCCTCTCTCTTCGCTCCCCGCTCGCACCTGAAGCCCCCCCTAGTGTATGAGCAGCGCCTGCAGCTACAGCAGCACGTTGGGCGCGAGGGACCCCAACCCCACACCCTTCACCCCCACGAGCAGCAGCACAACCCCTCTTCTCTCCTCTCCTCTCACCTGCAGCCCGCCCTTGTGGATGAGCAGCGCCTGCAGCTGCAGCAGCACGTTGGGCACGAGGTTGCCATAGTCGTCGTACGAACACGGCAGATCCTCCGGTGCCTCGCCAAACACGCCCACCGCTATCTTGCTGCGCGCAACAGACAGGGGGAGGGAAAGGTTGAGGGGGGTGAAGGAGTGGTAAGATGCCACAGGGAATATTGGCAAAAGGTCCTCCGGGGGCCTCCCAAGACACGCCCACTACTATCTTGCTGCGCACAGAGAGCATTCACAGCGGTGAGAGAGAGGGAGAGCGGCGAGGAGAAGGGGAAGAGGGGATGGGGGGGCATTTGGGATGTTGGCGCATGAAGGGCCTCCCCAACACACGCCCACCGAGATCTTGCTCCGCGCGCAATACACTGAACTGAACAGTGACTGGAACCGTGTTTGGAAGGGTGTTTGATTCGGAACAGTGTTCGGAACTGGGGGGGTAGAGTTTGTGGGGGAGAGGGGCGGGAAGGGAAAGTGTGGTATGGTGTGGTAGGGGGTGCTGGTAGAGTGGGGAAGAGAGAGGGGGATGTGAGGGAGGGCAGCAGGGGAGTGAACAGCAAGAGGTGCGGAATGAATGAAGAGGTGGGGGAGGGCGAAAGGAGGAAGGAAGCAGACTATAGATAGAGAGGCAGTGCCACGCACCTGCTGTAGCTCACTATTGGCAGTGCCAGTGTCACCAGCTGCCCCTGCACTCCCCCCATCCCCATCCCCATCCCCATGGCCCCCAGGCCGCCATTTAGAGGGTCCAACGTGGCAGGCTCGTGTGGATACGCCACCTGGCGCACGTCCATTGGCGGGCCAATCCGCAGGGACGGGTGGCGGGAGCTCCCCCCCGCGCCACCATGCCCCCCGGGTGCTCCGCGCCTCCCCTTCCCCTTCCCCCCCGCGCCCCCCCTCCTTCCGCGCCCCCTGGGGTTCCCAGCGTCGCCCCCCTCCCCCTCATCGTCACTGCTGGAGGCGAATCCGCACGCCACCCGCGGAGCAATGCACTGGCGCAGGCGGCCTGGTGAAGGCAGGAGGGTGAACGGGGGAGGAGGGAGGGAAGAGTGAGAGGGGAAGGAGGCCGGGAAAGTGGAGTTAAGGCAGGCAACTTATAACGCACTGACGCATGCTGGGGGGAGAGAGGGACGCGGAAAGTAGGTAAGGGAGAGGGTGGGTGCGGGGGGGCGGGGAAGGGGATGATGGCGTTTTGAGCGCCGTTGGGTGTGCTGGCGCAGGCCTGCCAGGCACCTGGGCGCATGGGCGCATGGGCGCATGGGCGCATGGGCGCATGGGTGCATGGGCGCATGGGCGCATGGGGAAGCATGGACGTGGCGGGAGGCGCGCGAGGAGGTGTGGTGTGGGTGAGACGGTTGGGAGTGGGGAGAAGTGGGGGGGATGGGGAGGAGTGGGGGAAGGGGGGGAAGGGGGCGCGCATGAGGAACCTCGGAACAGCAGAGATGCACTGGCGCAGGCTTGCGGGGGACATGCGCGCGAGGGGAGGGCCGCGGAGGGGCAGGCTTCGCCGGGAGAGAGGGCGGAAAGAGGGAGGTGCGGGAGGGTGAGGAGGAGGGGGGGGGGGGGGGGGGGGGCGGGGGGGGAGGGGGAAGAGGGAGGGGACGTAAGCGCCGCGATCCCTGTAGAAAGAGGGGCAGACTCGAGTTGGCGCAAAGAGTTCCCCGCAGGCAGCACCGCCGCTGTAAGGCGCACTCCGGAGCACGCCGTGAGTGGTTTCCGCCTTCGCGGAACAGCTTTGCACCCGCGCCGCGCGATCACGCAGTGACACAGGTTTCGACAGAGAGAGCGAGGGGCGCTGGGAGAGCGATGAAGAGCGGTCCTATGCGGTTTCACGGCTATGATCTCTGCTACACGGCGGGCAAGCGCGGTGGAGAGCGGTGGAGCGGGACTGACCTGACATGGTGCAAGCGAGCGCGGTCGCGACTACATGTTCCCTACAAGTCTGCTACTCTCTCCGTCGCCGCTGCTCGCTCACACCCTGGTGCTCGGCTCGTCTCTGCTGCTCTCGCCTCGACGCGACACGAGCCTCTCGGAAGCATTTTGCGGATCACAGCAAGCGACTGCGAGCTACTAGCTAAATTGCCGCGAGTGTCACTGACGCGCGTCACTCGCGAGAGGAGACACGCGCGGGAAACGGGGAACGACAGCGAAAGCGAGACGCATCCCCGGCGCAACATGCTAAAGCGCAGCGCGCGGACTATGTGCGGTGCGTGTGGTATTTACACTAGCGAGTATACTTGAGGCTGGGGCGGTTGCATCTGCACTGTACGTAGTGTGCGTTGCATGTGCAGAACAGACAAGCCGCGTAAGTGCAACGGGTAGCGTTTGTGGGGCGCGCGAGAACGTGGGGTTGCGGGCAAGGCTGTTGGGTCCAGCTGCAGTGCCACTAAGATTGTATCCAGCGAGTAAAACGTGAATTGTAAAAATATGAGAGCTCAGATTAAAAAAATCTATTGTTCACAAGGATTTTCTATCTAAATTATTCTAAGGCTTCATCTCACCCATAAAAGGCGCGGAATCAATTTTATGTTGTATAGCAACGACTTCTGCCATGGCTCCTGCTTTAACTTCGACGCGCCCAATGTATATCAATTTCCAGCCTGGTGGCACATTTTTCCGGATCTTAAAGCTCAAGGCCCAAATTGCGCAAGATTACTAATCTTGCGTAAGTTTGAGTGCTGAGGGGTGGGTGGAGTCGAGTGGAGTGTTGGGAAGGTGACCTGTCTGATTTCGCCCGTAACACTTGGTTTTTTCGCCGAGTCAGCGAACTTCCGGGGGAAACGTGGGTTTGGGGACCTCGAGTCCCAAATTGCAGAGTAGTAAAACTCGATGCTTTGGCAGTGAGTCTGGCTTCGACCAATCAGATTGCATCGCACCTATTGTAACCAAATTTTCGCCACACACCAGCACAGAAAACGAGAAGTGTGCAAGATTACTAATCTTGCCCTGCGCGGCCCGCAATTTGGGCCTTGAGCTTTAATGTTCAGCTCGACTAGCGCTTTAAGAGGATACCTTTTTTGTGTTCATACGGTGAACATTGGTGATTCTTACCTAGTCGCAGGAACTATCAAGGTCCATGTCTTATCAAGCTTCTTGGTAATACCATGGCGTCTCGGCTTCAGGCAGCCTAGCGTGGATTGGCTACTGGATCCTGACCCGCCTGATTTACGGTGTTTGTTATCCTGTTCTCCGAGATCGTCATTAACCCTCGGTTTTGGCCCAACTACACAAGGCTCGGGCATTTCACACTTTCAAGCAACATCAGCACTTAGCTATATAAGCAAAGGCAGTGACAAGAGCAGTTTCATATTCGTGCTCAGAGGAGGTGTATCATCAAGCTTCTGTTCAAGCCTGTTCCTCCGTTTTCATCATTGCACAATGGCGGGAGGACGACGCAACGGACGGGGTGGCGGAAGGACTGGAGGGAAGGTTATTGACACTGCTGGCAACACTCCTTCGACCAGCGCGGAGCGCTCTCCGGAGAAGAGTCCACTGGTGTCAGCGCAAGCCTCGCCTGAAGCTCTCCACAAGACGACAGCGTGCGATGTGCTGGGAGAGGCGGCGAAGGTCTCCCTGCAGGAACGTCTGTCTGCTTTGAAGGTCAACGGGCTTAAGGACAATGAGGAAGGAAATGAGACACAGCAACCGCAGCCAAGCACGTCAGCTGGTGGATCGTCGAATCCTGCGACAACGGTACCCGCGACGGCGACAGAGGGTTGCAGCAAGTATGTGGATGAGGATGAGTGCTGGGACAGCGACGACGAGGATGATTTCGACCCAACTGCGGTCAGCCTGCTCGCGTCTCAAGTCAGCTTCCCGCTTACGCTTCTGATTCCTATTCAGTGGGAGAGCGAGGTCCCGAAGTTGAAGCCTACGGTCATTGCGCACCTGGATCACTGGAAGGCTTCGCTGACGGCCGACGCGCAGACGACCACGAAGTATCAGGAAATGCTGCCGGTGTGGTTGTCAAAGAAGAGATACGGTCGGCTTCAAGTTACCTTTCAGCACGCGAGTGATGCGGCTTCGGTCTGGCGGCGCTCCATCGAACATGATGTGGGGAAGGGAGTTACCCTGACGCTCAACTGGCAGCACCCGGAGAACGCAACCTACAGGAAGGAGCGTCAGCAGAACCCAGACGCGGTGGAGGTGCTGTTGAAGTCTGTTCCGGCTGGCGTCTCTCCGGAGCTGGTCTGTAAGATGCTGACGGAGGTCGTGTTGCTGAAGAAAGGGAGACCTGCGTTCGGCAAAGGCGTGGGTTTCCACAGGGTGCAGGACCCTGTTACTGGTATCGACACTGACAAAATACGTGGTCTGGTGGTTGAGCACGAAAACGACGATGACCCATGTCGTCATGCGGTTGCGGATCTGTCAAACCCCGGAAGGAAGCTGATGGTTCATTATCCGGCGCTCACCTGTAGCTATTGCAAGGGTCAGCATCTGACGCAGTATCACAACGCTTATGTCACGGAGCGTCAATCCAGCATCGGCAAATGGACTTTGACTGTCGCAAAAGTTCATGCGATCAACAATATCAGTGTCTCGCATTTCTCACCTTTACCGCTCCTGTTTTGTCCTTCGACTCTTACTGACGTCCCGGCTCAAATCCCTCCTCGCAGCTGCATCGCTGAAAGTCACAGCGTTAACAAAAGACATTCTCAAGGACCCGGCCATTGTTCTCACCTCCACAGGGGGGTCGCGGGAAGATTGGGTGTGTGTGGTCGCCGCTTGCGACAAAGCGCAAGGTGCCAGCTTCGAGCAGGCGTCTGCTCACGTTGCATCACTCCGTCACAAGACGAACCTGACAAAGCCAGGTGCTGCTACCCGCGCCAGCAAGGGTGCTCTCAACCTGGGAGCATTCCGCAAGGAGTTCGCCAAGTAATCGTTTGGATGTCGGTGTCCCGGAGTTACGCATCTGCAGGAGCACGGAGGGAAGAAGGATGGCAGTTCAGTTTCCGTTTCAGCTGTGTTAGCAATAGTGGTAGTTCTATGGTGCGGCTGGTGACAGCGGTGCGCGTGTATCAGGGGACTTGTATCATTTTCTCAGCCCGTGGATGCGAAGGGGCTTCTCACCTGTTTTTAAATGAATAAGAAGAACTCGATCAGGTTTTGCGAGCTCAACATCAACGGGCTCGGCAGTGCATGTTAGAATGAACAAGTGTGATTGAACTAACAAGATTGGGAGTACAAGTAGGAAACCCTAGAATGTTGTACCCCCTAAGGCTAAACCCACTATAGCCTACACAATGTAAACATATAATGTTTGACACACCCCCATAGGCTAAGTGGGAGACAACCAGATGGTCACAAGACCAGTCAAAGCAAGGCAAAGCAAAGCAAAGCTCAGGGTGGATCTCAAGGATACCACACAAATTCCGAGCACAAGCAAGCGGTCACAAGACCAGTTCACATGCAGTTTGATAATAAACAAGAGGTACAGTGATCACAACCTAGCAAGTGTAAGCATGCACGTATATATATAGAGATCACAGTACAAGCAGAGTCAAGAAGTGAGCAAGTGAGGGACAGTAGGCACAAGGCCTAGAACAGTACAGAAACGCTGATGATCACAAGGCTGAAGCGCCTTGGTGAACACATCGGCAGTGTTGGCCCGAGTGGCCACGTACGAAAGACGAAGCTGACCACGCTGCTGCAGCTCTCGAGCAAGGAAGTAGCGCAGAGCGATGTGCTTCGTTCTGTGCTCCAGTCTGTGCTCCTGACACAAGGCAAGGGCGGCCTTGTTGTCGACGTACAGTACTGGAGGAGAACGAGGCCGCTCTCCCAGGTCGGTCAGCAGGTAGGTGAGCCAGCGAAGCTCCTGGGCAGCCATGGCTGTGGCGTAGATCTCAGCCTCACAACTGGAGCTGAGAACAGAGGAAGAGCGTGTAGAACGCCAAGAAACTGAGCCAGAGCCAAGGCTGAAGGTGTAACCCTGAGACGACCGCTGAGTAGCCTGGTCGTCAACCCAAGAAGCGTCTGAGTGTCCAGTGAGGACAACGTCGCGCCGTCCTCCAAGCACAAGCCCCATGCCCGACGTACTGCACAAGTAGCGCAACGTCACATGTGCTCCTTCCTGTGACGGCCAGGAGCGACATAGCGTGCTAGGATGCTAAGAGGGTAGGCTAGGTCAGGTCGAGTGCAGGTCATCAGGTACATGAGGCAGCCCACAAGCTCTGGATACGGGCCACTCGGCTCTACAGACTCATCCGAAGGCAGAGCTGAGAGCGAGTGACTGGTAGGCAGAGGAGTGGGCTGAGGCGAGGAGTACGTGAAGCGAAAGCGCTGAAGGACCTGCTGCACCATGTGTGACTGAGTCAAGGTGATGGTGCGCTGTGCTCTGTCCCGGGTGATCCGCAAGGCAAGATAGCTTGTCAGCTCACCCAGGTCTGTGCACGTGTGTCTCTTCTGCAGTTCCGACTTCACGTGTGCGAGTGCCTCAGTGTCAGCAGTAGCAAAGACCAAGTCGTCTACGTACACGAGAACGTAGAACGGCGGCAGAGTGGTGTCGGTGCGTAGAAACAGCGACGGGTCAGCAGTAGAAGGAGCAAACCCAAGAGCAGCAAGAGTAGTCCTCAGTGTGTCGTGCCACTCACGAGGTGCCTGGCGGAGACCGTAGACTGGCCGCCAGAGGCTCCACTGGGTACTAGGAGGGAACGACCCAGTGAAGCCAGGTGGGCGGCGCAGCCAGATCTCCTCGTGCAGGGTGCCCTGTAGGAACGCAGTGCTGAAGTCAAGGCAGTGGAGCTCGTAGTCACGCTGAGCAGCGACGTGCAGCAGAACCCGAAGAGTGGTCATCTTCGGGGTCGGGGAGAAGGTCTGGAAGAAGTCAACTCCCTCTCGCTGACTGAAGCCTCGTGCAACGTAACGCGCCTTGAAGACAGGCGGAGAACCCGGCGGCCGCTTCACCCTGAAAATCCACATGCCACTGACGATGTTCGCCCCAGGTGGGGGAACCTCGTCGACGTAGGTGCCTGTGGACTTCCAGGAAGCCATCTCTGCGTCCATGGCTGTCTGCCACTGAGAGGAGTAGAGACCCTCCATC